TGTTGTACCCCGACGCATAAAGTCGCACAACAATGAACCCTTCCGGTCCCAAAAGACGGTAGCGATAAGTTTCCCGGCAGAAAGTGTTTGTTTAAACTTTAGAGGTTTCGGCGAAGAAGTGTGCTTCCACTGCTTGGATTGCTCCTTTGTCTCCGGTGTGGTGTAGTGTACTCAGGTAACATCACCAGTAACGATCGAATCCAAGAATTCCTCTCCGTCAGTTTTGTGGCAATCGAGAAATTTCTGGGCCGCATCAACCCACTGCCGTTTATGGTCTTCAGTCAGCATTTTCGGAACCCATATTGTGCAGACCTTTGAATACCCTAAATGTTCACGCAAATTCTTGTCGATGGTGGTTTTACTGACATCAGGAACCAAATCGCAGAGCTTCCGCACAGTAACCCGTCGATCTTCAAGCATTGCTGCTTCGACTTTGGCAATGGTTTCGTCCGAAACCGATGGCCGTCCAGCACGCGGTTCATCGTGGACGTCTGTTCGGTCGTTTTTAAATTCTCTGACCCATCTGCGTACCATCCCGGAACTCATACACCCTTCTCCATACACTTGACAGAGTTCAGTATGAATGTCCTTCGCCGAATTCTTCTTTGCGGCCAAAAAGCGAATTACTGACCGTAATTCACAGCTGGCGGGAGACACGAGGGGAAGCTCCATCACTAACGGCTGCTCAGCCAAAACTAAGCTTACCAGCGACGTGTCCTTGGTGTGAAATTGGAGTGGGGAGAACAAGCTACGAGCCCGTGCAGTCGGCTCGAGCCTAAAAGCGATCCTCATGAGAGTGGTGCCCCGTGGAACTTATTTAACGGACAACCCTCGTATAAAAGGGCGTACCCCTGGATCTGTTAAAAAAAATTGTCTCAAAATATCAAAGACTTTCCATTTCCTTAAGTTTTTTCCATGAGTGTTCCATACGTTCGATTAATGTTTTGGATTATGAACTCCAAAATGTGTGAAGGGGTTTTACCTTGTAAATCCCCAGATATAAGTAATATCGAGACTAAGAAAAGCCACCATGATATCCATAAAACAGGAGCTGTATACGCAGTAGAGTGTATATGCTAGAGTACTGTAAATAGTGGGGAAGTTACCGTTTCAGTCATACAACAGGAACTGTATAGTGGAGTATAGTAGTTATATATAGTGGAATATAGGTACTCTGTAGATACAGTTAGGGGTAGGTACTGTGTTTATGTATAGTGGAGTACAGGATCCGTAAATGAACAGTGGAGTTTAGGTACTGTAGATACAGTGGAGTATAGATACTGTGTGTAGATACAGTGGAGTGTAGGTACTGTAGATAGAGTGTAAGTACTGTAAATAGAGTGGAGTGTAGTAAACTGTAGATATATTGAGGTATAGGTACTGTAAATATAGTGGAGTATAGGTACTGTATGTAGATACAGTGGAGTGTAGGTACTGTGTATATGTATAGTGGAGAGTATAGGATCCGTATATGAATAGTGGAGTGTAGGTACTGTAGATACAGTGTAAGTACTGTAGATACAGTGGAGTATAGGAAACGGTAGATACATTGAGGTATAGGTACTGTAGAACGCCACGGAAGTGAGCCAGCCTGGACGTGACCCAGCACCACTCAGCCATGTTCCCTGACTGTCGGAATTACATAAGCTTTCCTACACTATGCTGCAAAAATTAACAATAAAATATAGCTAACCCAAAGGAATAGTCATAGAAATATTAATTTGAATGAAAAATAATATTTCGAAGCGCCTTACCCACATTTCCTCAAAACAATCCCCTGAAGTATTTTAATTCTTTCCCCTTTTTATATAGTTCCTGGTACAATTTCTTTACTATTCCTAAAAAAATCAATAAAATGAATATTTATTTTCGACATTACGGAAATACTATTAGAAGAAATTTGCATATATTTTACATATTGAGTTATTAATATGTAAATAGAAATATGCTTATTGCATATTAGGTATATGTTTTAAAATGTATATAAATACAAATAAAAAGCATATATAAAGGGTTTAACTAAAATTAACTTTTGTGTAATGATTGCAAGCATATTTTTCATTTCTTAATCAATTGGTTTATGTAAATCTACAATGTAATAGATTGTATATTTTCATTATAAGCTCCCTTGTATTCCATCAGTTCCTTCTGATGTAACACTTCCTATTTACATACTAGCGTGTATGTATATATACATGCATGTTTGAAAATAGAGCAATCCATATATTAAATTATTTAAAAATGCTTATTTTAGATCATAAAGTTTTATTTTCCAATATTTGGGAATGCTACTACTTTTTTAAATTTTAAAGCAGTTGTAGATATTGTAGGTTTTAGATTTTTAAAATTTTATAGCAGTTGTACATACTCGTGAATTGATACGCGAGCATCTCAAAACAATCTTGTTCCCTGAAGAAGTTTGGCGAGTTGCCTCACGAAATATTGGAAAATAAAACTATATGATCCAAAATAAGCATTTTAAAATAATATGTATGTATATATGTATAAAATAAAAGGATTTAAAAGCGCGAATGTTTCTTTTATACATAAAACGAACTTCTACTGTCCTTACTGCGATGAAAAAATATATTGGGAGGGCTTGGCTCATCAGTGGTGAACCCTCCCAGCGGTTTCGCCAATTTAATCCACCAGACCGCTTCTCAGAGCTCTAATATTGTATTGGATCATTCTGCTTTTGTATGTATGTATGGGTGTCTATACAGGATAACTTCATGACAAACACCAACATGACAGCCATGTTTGAACCAATTCTTACCCAAGTGTCCATCTATTTATCGATTGTTCAATTGGAACAATCAATGTATTGATTGATTAGGAATCGATATATCAAATGGTACAATCAGAAATCGATAAAATTCCAATATTTGGTGTTACACAGATGGGGCTATGCAGGCAGGATTGTCATCGCCGTCCTTTTACCTCGCCAGACACCGCTCCCCATCTCTTTTGAACTGTTCATTTTTGTTATGAAATTAAATAGTTAAATAATGTATATATGTATACTAATGGACAAAAGGAAGTGGAAAATCTTTGATATCGTCAGTCGTCTGTTTTTTTGAAGGAGACAGAGGCAATTTTGTTCACACTTGGTTATCTCGTGTGTCTTCACAATAAAGGTCACTGTAATATCTTTCAGAGTTATTGTCTGAATCCCGATATACATGATAAAAGGTATAACTTCATTTTAAGTGTTGTATATGAGTGTATGTAAATGGGTATTTTTGTGTGACAGCCGACAACTCGGGATTTATCTGGTCAATTCAGATACTGTTGTCACTCTATTGTGTCACATCTTTCTGAGATGGTAGACGTACAGTAACTAATATATGGCAAAATAAATATTTTATTAAATCTAATATATGCCTTTTTATTATCTAAGTAACTAATATATGGCAATAACGCTCTATCTATATACAACAAATGAAAACATTAAGACGCAAATGTTTCTTTTACACATTAATCAAACTGTTCTTAATACTATGAAAATTATTGGGAGGCTTGGATCTACAGCTGGAAGGGTTCACCACTGATGAGCCAAGCCCTCCCAATATTTTTTTTTTATCGCAGTAAGGACAGTAGAACAGTTTAATTAATGTGTGAAAGAAACATTCGCAACTTAATGTTTTCACTTGTTATTACAGTAGCTATCTTTATCAAGGGCGTTGTAGTTAGGGATCCTGTACTTATAAATGGAAATAACCAACGGCTCATTTGCATAGTCCCTTATTGCATAGTTCCGATTTGAACTCATAAAAATCTTAATTGTTCTATAGCGATAGCTGAAATATTTATTTTATCCTTTTTAGTGCATATATATATACTAGACGAATGGCCCGGGCAACGCCCGGGGTTTACCCGAGTGCGAATATATTCTAAAAACGTTGACTTGGGTGGTCGCTATTAACAGGGTGGTCTGTATAGACAGGTGGATGTATCACACAGCTGATAACAGGGTTGTCTAGAGTGGTCGCTATAGACAGGGTGGTCTGTATAGACAGGTTTATGAGAGAGGCACAAACTTACAGGTTGTTGACGCCGCAACCCCAGAGAGAGTGTTTTTTGTTGCATCATGCTGTGACTCACACGACGACCCAAGGTCAACAGGGGTGGAGCAGCAAGCTTAATTAAGCCTATCACCGTCTGGCGGCGCTGCTTGCGAGTTATATCTACAATTCTGCAAATAACTCTAAGGATATTCAAGATATTCAAGAAATTATTTTTCGAAAACCTTTCCGGGGATATACCTAATAATATCCCAGAATTTCATGGCGATTGGATGTATGGTTTTTGAATAACAGGGTTGTCTAGAGGGGGGCAGGGAGGACACGTGTTCCCTTGCAGCCAATGAGCGCGCATTCTATCCGTGAGCTTCAGACAAACAGACAGAATAAGGCAAATATATAAGTAGATATATATATATATATTTTAAATAGCGCAAAACATAAATAAATCTTTAAATAAAAAGGCATATATTGGATCAAAATATCATTTATTTTACCAATATTTCAGTTGGCTGAACGCCAACCTTTATCAGGGTATTATAACATTTTAAAGTGTGTCAACAATTTAAATATTTATGAAAAACAATAGAAAAAATAAAATATAAGTGGGTCAGGTGTTGATATTAAAAATAAAGAAGGCATCTCCTGACCACGAGCACATGTGCTTTTTAGATGGCAGATATATATATTTAAAAACGTTTAAAATAATTTTTAAAAATATAAAAAAAAAAAAGTTATTTGGCCAATTATGGAATAATTTAAAAATCAACGATTTTTTAATATTTATTCCGATAGATGGCGCAAGCCATCAATAACTTTTAGTTGTACGATTAGGAGATGTATTTTACTTTAAAGAATTAATTATTAGTTCCTAATATACCATGGTTCAAGTGACCCGCTGACACCATTTTTCAAGGAAAAGGAAATCTTATAATATTTATCTTATATAAGTTTGGTTTTCCTTTTAAAAGGTTGAAAGGCAGAATAGCTCAGTTGAGAAAGAGTTAGACTGAAGATCTAAACGTTCTGAGTTCGAACCCGCGTTTCGCCATATTTTTTCTAATTATTTTTCTGTTCAAGAATAAGATCCCCAAGGACCTGAGAAACGGACCCAAATAATTTATAAAAGAATAGGGTGCCTCTCCTTTCAAAACTTTCCATCTATATTTCTGTCATAGATTTGACCTAGCCACTTTACCAGCTAAACACCTCTTTAGCAGATTGTGAAGATTCCATTGGATTCCGTGTAGATCTCATGGAATAAAGTTCGTCTTAGACTGACAAGGGCCATTAGCCTGAAACCATGGTCTCTAGGTGGACACTTCTCAGTTTTCCAAAGCTGGTGTTGTGGCTTTGTTACCGACCTAAGGCCGCTAGTTTGCGGCGACGGTCAATAGATGGCTTCTAGTTTTGACGGGAGAGGTGCCCTATACTTTTATAGATCAATTTGCTCCCGGTAAAATTTCCATACATCTTCTTCTATATATAAAAAAATCAATGTTTGTATGTTTGTTTGTTTGTATGTTTGTTTGTTTGTATGTCCGGTATACAAATTCGCAGTAGTTCACTAATTCAAACCAAAATTTCCATACATAGGTAAAAAAATACGGGGAAGACGATAGGCTATTTAAAAAAATATATAAATCAATTATTAAAACTATATATTCAAATTATTCTACTTAGCTCACGAACACAGCGCCCTCTATCAAAGATTAGATTAAATTATGCTGATGCAAACAAATAGATAATGCTAATAACAAACAATTATAAAAAAATCTTATCTAAATATATATCACTCGGGTAGATATGCACATGGGTCAATCCCGGGGCGAAGCCCGGGTCACCCGTCTAGTAGCATATAATTGTAAATGAATCCTTGTAACTAACCACACATCCTTCATTGTAAATATGATGATCTAGGTTGTGCTCTTTTTGAGCGGCGGTACCTAATAAAGTTATTTTGGAACTTTGAATGAAAAGAATGACAGCGGGTCACAGAAAAACGTAAAAAGAGAATTTAAAAAAGATTGTAGTTGATATTTATAAATCCAATATCTGCCACAAAATAGAACTTCTATTAAAAGAGAAAATTTATATAAAATATAAATGACAATAAAGCGTTCCTTTATTCTTAAAAAAGTTCGAGTTTACGGATCTGAAAGAGATCCGAATTATTCCGAAAAAAAAATATTTTAAATACTTTATGGAACTTCTATGTAGGAAGGTATGTTGTCTATCAAACAAAGCTTTATTAAGACCACTGGTCCTATACAGATTCACCACAGGAAGAAAGGAATATATGCTGTCTATCACACAAAGCTTTATTAAGACCACCGGTTTTATACAGATTCACCACAGGAAGAAAGGAATATATGTTGTCTATCACACAAAGCTTTATTAAGACCACTGGTCTTATACAGTTCACCACAGGAAGAAAGGAATATATGTTGTGTCTATCACACAAAGCTTTATTAAGACCACTGGTCTTATACAGTTCACCACAGGAAGAAAGGAATATATGTTGTCTATCACACAAAGCTTTATTAAGACCACCGGTTTTATACAGATTCACCTCAGGAAGAAAGGAATATATGTTGTGTCTATCACACAAAGCTTTATTAAGACCACTGGTCTTATACAGATTCACCACAGGAAGAAAGGAATATATGTTGTGTCTATCACACAAAGCTTTATTAAGACCACCGGTCTTATACAGATTCACCACAGGAAGAAAGAAATATATGTTGTGTCTATAACACAAAGCTTTATTAAGACCACTGGTCTTATACAGATTCACCACAGGAAGAAAGGAATATATGTTGTGTCTATCACACAAAGCTTTATTAAGACCACCGGTCTTATACAGATTCACCACAGGAAGAAAGAAATATATGTTGTGTCTATAACACAAAGCTTTATTAAGACCACCGGTCTTATACAGATTCACCACAGGAAGAAAGGAATATATGTTGTGTCTATAACACAAAGCTTTATTAAGACCACTGGTCTTATACAGATTCACCAGAGGAAGAAAGGAATATATGTTGTCTATCACACAAAGCTTTTTTAAGACCACCGGTCTTATACAGATTCACCACAGGAAGAAAGGAATATATGTTGTGTCTATAACACAGAGCTTTATTAAGACCACCGGTCTTATACAGATTCACCAGAGGAAGAAAGGAATATATGTATATAAGTCTGTCAATAATCATCCACTATGGAAATTTCTCCCTCCCTTACCACAGTGTCTATTAACTCCTCATTGAGAAAACTTAATTAGCAGATATATTATCGACTTTTAATTAATTAACGGGAAATATTGATGAGGGCTTCAGATGGCATTGAGATAAATAGATTTTAAGATATTATATTTACATATGGAAGACGTATATGTGTAAATAAGACGGAGTGGGGTATATGGGGGGAACACTCAGAATACTGGGAATGATGGTGATTATTATTGGAAGTTTTATAATCTTGAATTATCATCATTTTTATATTATAAATCTAATAATACACTCATAGACAAAACTTAAGGAAGTTATACCTTTCAGCATGTATATCGGGATTCAGACAATAACTCTGAAAGATACACTCATGGACAAAACTTAAGGAAGTTGTATCTTTTAGCATGTATATCGGGATTCAGACAATAATTCTGAAAGATACACTCATGGACAAAACTTAAGGAAGTTGTACCTTTTAGCATGTATATCGGGATTCAGACAATAACTCTGAAAGATACACTCATGGACAAAACTTAAGGAAGTTGTACCTTTTAGCATGTATATCGGGATTCAGACAATAACTCTGAAAGATACTCTCATGGAAAAAAATTAAGGAAGTTATACCTTTTAGTATTTATATCGGTATTCAGACAATAACTGAAAGATACACTCATGGACAAAACTTAAGGAAGTTGTACCTTTCAGCATGTATATATCGGTATTCAGACAATAACTCTGAAAGATATTACAGTAACCTTTATTGAAGACACACGAGATAACCAAGTGTGGACAAAAGTGTCTTAGTCTCCTTAAAAGAAACAGACGACTGGCGATATCAAAGATTTTCCACTTCCTTAAGTTTTGTCCATGAGTGTATATTGCCGAATTCTATATTTGCATATAAAAGATTTACAGATATTACTTTTGCATATATTGGAATTTTTAGATTAGATAGAATCGTGTGTATTTATATATACCTAAGGGAATAAAACTTAGCCTCAATATACCAGGAAGTAAAACTCTTTGTAATCTATATTACAAAATCATCATTTATCAATAATGAATGTTTTAAAATTCGAAACTATTTTAAAGGCGTAAGATTCTTTTTGAAATTAAACAATTTCTACTGCCCTTACTGCAATGGAAAAATTAAAGGGAGGGCCTGGCTCATCAGTGGTGAACCCTCCCAGCGGTTTCGCCAGTTTAATCTACCATACCGCTGTTATATTGCATTTTTAGAACTTCCTTTTATAGTGATACTGTTGGTAGACTCTTGGAATGGGTATTTTAGAAGAAATATGGACATAAGCTTTGAGGACAGTAGAATTACATATAATTATAAATATATAATATGTTTCGAGCAATCGCTCTTCCGCAAATATCAAATTGTGTCTTTTTAGCAGATGGCGCGCTAGTGCATCATATTATAATAAATGTTTAAAAAAATTCTAAATAATAATAAATAAATTATAGGAAACAATTACTATATATATGGTTCTTAATTATTGAATTGCTACGGTAGCTCTTAAACTTCTATTAAGGCTTTCATAATTAACCACATACGCGGTTCGGGTTATTGGCCCTTGTCAGTACAATACAGGCTGTAACTCAGCGACCAATCAAGATGGACGTAGAAGCTTCACCCATCGAGGAAAAAGGTATTAAAGGCCAAAAAGTGCGTGATAAACTATCCGACAAAAGAGAACAATAGGAAGGATGATCTAGAGGTAAAAATAAAGAAAAACGTCATCATCTCCTGCCTTTCTTTTGTTCCTATCTAATTAGAGACATTTCTTCTTTCTATAAATGGCCACTTTGACATGAAATATTAAAGAAATCGCTTACGTTTGTTTTCTTACAGACAAACAGAAATTATACATGTAACGTTTCCTATTTAAAAATAAGAGATATTATTTATATTAAGAGATATTTAACCCGATTACAACAAGGTAAATATATATATCAACAAAGCAAACTTATGCAAAATTATGAAAAAAGGCATCTCCTTATCGTGCAACTGAAAGTTGCTGATGGCATACGCCATCTATCGGAATAAATATAAACTATTCTCGTTGATTTTTAATTATTCCAGAATTGGCCAAATACCCATTCTTGATTAATCAAGAAAAGCTAACCACGGACGCGTTTCGGGCTATTGGCCCTCATCAGCGTGGTGCAAGCTGTACCTCAACGACCAAAAATCTGGTCATTCAGGCATTCTGAAAAATCATGAAATTATGCAAAATTACCTAAAGAAAAGTACAGTGTTGCCGACTGTATGTGTGTCCAACCAAAAATAAAAAATTGAAGAATAATCAAATATTTTACATAAATAAACACAAAGCATGTTACAATATAAGAAATTACAACTTGAAAGACTCAAAGCTATTATTAGAAGATTGTTATAAAGTATAAAATAAGAATATAAACAGCAGCAATGAGCGTTTCTTTATTTATGCAAAGTACAAGCTTTCGGATCTTTATAATCTTTCTACAGGCATATCTATAAGTTGAGAGAATGAGGATATGTAAATATATAATGTGGAAGGATTATAAAGATCCGAAAGCTTGTACTTTTCACAAATAAAGAAATGCGTGGCTACTGTATATATTAATACTAGCCGAATGACCCGGGCAACGCCCGTGTTTTACCCGATTGAATGTTTTGATTCAAATACTATTTGTTACAATTATAAATTGGAGCCTTAAATAAATGCATATATTAGTTAATAACTATAGCCTATGTGCTTTATCTGTCTACTTACTGTTGGCTTCCGTAGGCGTCTCTTACTGGGAAAGAGAAAGAGAGGATTCCATTTGG